AGATATCGGTTGGGAAGAAGGCGAATTTGATCTTCCTCTTCTTTCTTCTAAGGAAGCTTATTCTACCATTTTACTCTTTCACACTCTTCTGCATCATACTTCCATTAACAATGTTCATACCCGAAGCCGAGCTTCCTTTGTGGATCATCTGTTACGTTCCAATCTTCATTTCGTTTCTCAATATCCTCCCATCACCTAAATCTTTCCCTTTCTTAATCCCTTACCTTCTTTTCGAAAACACAATGTCGATAACCAAGTTCAATGCCATGATCTCCGGGCTGTTCCAGCTTGGATCGGCTTACGAGTGGGTTGTGACGAAAAAGACCGGGAGATCATCGGAATCTGACTTGCTAGCGTTTGCTGAAAAGGAAGAGAAGTTGCATAGGAGAAACTCGGAGTCTGGTTTGGAGCTTTTGAGCAAACTCAAGGAGCAAGAGATGAATCTTGTGGAGCAAGAAACCGCGAAGAAGAGCATTGGAGGGCTTAGGCCGAAAAACAAGAAGAAGGGGAATATGGTGTTCAAGAAAGAGCTCGGACTTGCGTTCTTGTTGCTAACCGCAGCTGCAAGGAGCTTTCTATCGGCGCACGGTCTTCACTTCTACTTCTTGCTGTTTCAGGGACTGTCTTTCTTGGTTGTAGGGTTGGATTTGATCGGAGAACAAATCAACTAGACACACACATTCAAAGAGGACAAAGAAGAAGGATAAAAATACCGTTTATATTCGCTTATTTTTTTGTTTCTTTTTTTGATTCTTTTCCCTTTCTTAAATGTGGGTTTTATACATAATTTTCTTTTTTTTTTGTTAAAGTTTTATACATAATTTTCAAGAACTTATAATGTCCAGTTTCAGATAAATTAATGAAACGAATTTGCTATATGATCTTGGCCTAACTGCAAATAATATTCATTCAGTGTTTTGCTACACTCTTACATTTATCAACCAAGTAACAATGGAATACTCAAATAATCAAATATTTGAAAACATTTTAGTTCGATATATATTTTTGGACAGTTTACTTTTGTGGAATTTTCGCATATTACAAAAAAAAAAAAAATCTATTAACTGATTTCAATATATAGGTTAATGAGATTTTGTTCCTTTTAGTTATATTTGTAAAAGTAAAATGTTCAAAGTATATAGCGAAATCACTTCTTTAAAACGAAAAAATTGGATGAATATTTCGAATGGTATGTTAAAAAAAAAGAGTATTTCGAATGGTAAAAAATAACAGGATCATGTTTTCAAAACACAAAGTGTAAAAAAATTTGAATATATACCCTTCAGCACCAATCCTTGATTAAATTTCTTTTGTATTAAAATCAAATAATGTTTGTGTTATCGTTTCACAAGTGGTACCAATCATAACTTTAAAAAACTTGCGTGTTTATTATATACATCGGAAACCTCTAGATTAGGTCTAAAGCTCTCAATTTTTTTAAAATTTTTAGTTAAAAACTAAATCTTATTATTAATTCTCTACTATACTATTACCCAAACACTCCACAATCCTATTAATTCTCTACTATACTATTATCCAAATACTACACAATCACACAATCCTTCCAACCAAAATAATTTTTTTGATTTGTTTAAAAAATAAAAATAAAAGAAAATTTACTATTAATATTCACTTACTCTTATAATTTACCTTAAACCTATAAACTTCAATTCATATTTGTAATACTTTATTTTGTATATTTGATCCATAAACCATATTTTTGAAGATTATAATATTAAATAAATACAATTCATTAATAAGTGATATATATCGACTAAAAACTAAAAATTTGTTGGTTTCAATTATTTCACGGGTGGATACATTTCTATACAAAATAATTGCAAAATTCATATATATATAAACGAGTTTTACATTTCATATAATAATTTTTCCAATAACTATAGATGATTTTAAACTAAAACTATATTAGTTTTATTCGCGTATCACATTATCCCGCGTTCTAGTTACAATATAAATAACAAATCTGTGATATACTATAAAATTATAGGTGCCTATACCATATTATATTGAAAGATTGGAGTTCTCTAGATCAACGCGTCGAGTTGTGTAACAAAATAAAGAAAAGGGTCAAGAATGGCGGTGATTATAATAATTTCATTGCTCTTTGTCACTCACTTCGAGTTCTATTTATACAATATCTAGTCCCTAAGTGAAAGCTTAAAGCATATCTACGAACTTCAACAATGTCCAACTCAAAGTCACTTCTCTTGTTCTGCTCCTTACTCTTCTCACTCACTTTGTCTGTAAGTTCTTGTACTAAATTTATAACAATGTTGTCTCTTTATTTTAATTTTAGGCTTAAAAAATGATAATACTAAGTTCTCTATGTTTTGCTCTTTATTATGTACAACTCTAGGTTTACTCTGATCTCCAAGTGAAGAAGCCACCTCCTCCACCGCTCCAACCGGTAACTCCCGTGGTCACACCTCCATCCCCACAACCGGTTAAACAACCTTCACCGTCGAACAAACCGCCTTCACCGCCAACCACACCGCCTCCACCACCAGTTATGCCTAAAGGTAAAACATGATTACGTTACATTTTTCGTAAACAAGTAACATATATAAATATACAGATCATCCAGAACACAGCGTATCACAAATTTTTAAGTATTTGTTACAAATTTTAGAATGGGCGTATAAAATTAGAGCCAGTTTACTTATTGGAAATCAGTTTTGTGAACAAAAATTGATGCACTTTGACGCCGTATCAAATAGAAAATTAACTTCAATAAATTAAACTGATAATATATAAAAAAACATAGATCGTTCTGTTCATATTGGCTTATATAATTGACCAGAACCTACAAACTTTGGCAACATTGAAAAATCGGTGCACCCTTTTACAATATTTCATAAAGATTTTTTTTTGTTGTTAAAGAATATTTCATAAAGATTCTAATGATATTGTTGACGAATGTTTGCAAATTGAACCTTTTTTTTTTTTTTTATCATCGTTCGTTGCTCATTATTGATAAACAGATTGCCCAAGATTGTGTGGTATTAGATGCGGCTCGCACTGGAGACCAAAGGTGTGTATTAGAGCATGCACCACATGTTGTCTTAGGTGCAAGTGTGTACCGCCCGGCACGTATGGAAACAGGGAGAAATGCGGCAAATGTTACACAAACATGATCACTCATGGTGGTCGACCCAAATGTCCTTGATCCACCTTCTCTAATGTTTAATCTTTGTTTGTGATCAAGTGTTCGTTTTCTCACACTATGTTTTACTATTTTAGGAGTTAAAAATCGAGTTTGTAGTTGTTGTGTGATTTCTGCAATGGCAACTTTTTACATTTACAACTAAACTAATATTTTATGGAAGAATATCAAAAATACCACTTTTGATTTGAAAAATGTAATATAAATTCTATACCAAAACAAGAAACTCCCCTCATTTGGACGACTGGTTATGGATAATTTATGTTTTTAACAAGGTTTAAGAGTGTGGATCCAAATTCATCACAATTTGGGTAATATGTCCATCAAAGTAGTCTTAAGCATGCTCATTGTTGGGGTCAAAACTCCCTCCGACAGTTTTCTCTTGTAAAATGGCTAAGTATAGAAATGAATATAAATGGAAAGGTGCCTAGTCCACTCTGAAGACCTGGACAACTTGCCAGAGTAGCTCGTTTCATCTAGCACTGACACGATCCGCCGACCATTTCTGCCTCTTGCCGACTTCTCCACTTCTACCGACTACTGCCACTGCCAACCACCAGTTGAGCCGACCACGAACCCTCGTGACACCGGCGTAGTACAAAGCTCGACGAAGTCGATCCATATTAACTTATTTGGGCCGACTATGTGAAGTTGGGCCGAGAACATAAGCCCAAATTGGCAGGGTGGCAATGTGACGAGATGGCAAGATCAGGCCCAAGATGGCGAATCACGTGGCAAGCACCGACTACGAGAAATAGGAAATCCCGAGAAATACGGAAAACTTCCTTATCTCTTATTTGTTAGACCTAGCCGACTTAGACTTGTATAAATACTCTTGTACTCCTCTTGAAAAGGGGATCCGCAACTTTCTGGCGAAAACACTTAGCATCAAATCAATAAAGCTTTCTTAACGCTATTTTCGTGTTTTTGTCTTTGTTCTAGGTTGTTCTTCTGATTCTTTCCTAGAGATCTTGTTTCCCTTAAAAACCCTTGACAAATTCAATTGCGTTGGTTTCGACCTCCACAATTTGGCGCCGTCTAAAGGGAAACCTAAGACTCTTACATAGAAGGAATCACACAACAACAGATCCAGCAAAGATGACCGCCGACGACGTATCCGAGCTCCCCAGAGAAGACCAGCCCGGAGATAAGAACGTGGAGGCTCAAAAAATTGGCATCGACAAAGACGCCGAGAATTCCGGAGCTCAGAACAAAGACGCCGAGAATTCCGCAGCTCTGAGCAAGGATGCCGATGACTCGAACGCAAACCGGGCCGCGGGGACAATGGAGGCGACTCCCGAGTTCCTCAAGCAGATGAAGGAGATGATGGAGGTGTTGCTCAAGAAATCAGCAGAACAAGATGCGCGAAACGCGGCGATCGATGATGAGCAACGGACCTTGGCCAGGGCGAGCAGAACCCGAGGGAGAGGAACAGGCGTAATACGGAGATCCATAGGACGTATTAACCCGACAGCCCTGAACTTTTCCATCCCAACCGGAACACCACAGACCCGGGAAGCACCGTCAGCCCGTCATGACTTTAACACCGCCAAACCAAATATGATGACGAGCGCACCTCCACCTGGCAGAGCGCCTCCAGTGATAAATCTGGACGACCATCCGAGTGGCGAGTGTAACTCAGGCGATCAACGTGAGCCCCGAGACGAAGGCCAAGCCCATATCCGACGAGACCATACCCGCTTCGAGCGCGATCGAGACTTCCCAGACGAGGAAGAAGAGAATATTTTCTGGACCGAGCAAGCACAGCTCGACGAGGAGCGTACAGCAAAAAGTAAAGCTCAAGAGGACGAGCTGGCCAGGATGCGGGCAGCACTAGACCGAACCGTCTCT